AAAACACCCACACCAACACCCACACATCGCTTAACATTGGCTTTCGTACTTCAAGGGTCTATAGCAACCAAAGCGGGAGCCTGAGAAGGAGTTCTGAATAGGCTGGCTATATTGGGTTATAACGGGTCATTTTTTTTGTTTTTTTTGGTGGGAGGGGGGGGGTGCTGTTTGTCTTTGCGGCGCTGTATAGACTCTAGTTACATTATATCTTGGCGAAGGAAGCTTGTTTTGATGTCCAGAAGCCTCAATAACAGTACACTGCAAGACCTCGGTCCCTGGTTCCTACAAAAAAAGGGACCATGAAACCCTACACCCGAACATGAAGCCGAAACAGTCTTGCAGGAACCGGAAGTTGTGTAGGTCACCCTCGGCGAGGTAGCGTTGAAGCCTGCTGCACACTTTGCTACTGCTGGGATTCGGAGGTTTGTGTTCAGGATTCAGGCAAAGCGCACATTCTGACTTCCAATGATGTTAGTCGCGCGCTTGCAATTCTTGCCATTGCTGTTCTTTCTGGTCTTGCCATGATGGGTCTCCACCGGTGTTGCTATCTTCTGAATGATTCCAGTGGAGTTGGTGTATGTGAATGACACCCGGCGTCCAGGCCATCACGCCGGTGTCGCAAAGCAGGAAGGACACAGGACAGATGCAGGAGTTGGGCGAGAGGACGAAGCAGACCGGGATACGGACGCAAGGGAGACTTTGAGGATTTAGGTGACAGTACAGCACCAAGCAGAACTGTCCTTTAGGACAGGAGTATGGCACCCAAATAGCAGATGAGGTCTAAATTCTAAGGCGGGAACCTACTTCGAGAACCCATCTAGCAACCAGCTCGGGCTTCAGCCAGGCAACTGCGCCGTAGCCAGTTCAGGTCACAGGGATATGCTTTCATCCCCAGGCAGGCGACTACTGGACAGTAAAGCCCAGCACCGCCCCCAAACTAGGGACTTTCACGAATACCTACGCACAATTTTCTTGATTTTGCACAGACACGAAGGGCCATGCCTCATAACAACCATTGTTACAGCGATACGTCTGATTCCTTGCTAACATATGCTGTTGAATGTGCATTGATTCAATGATTCTGCTATCATCTCATAGACACGATTACAAGGTATGATTCTACAGAGACTTGCAAGACGATCTGCAGGTAGCATGAGAATTACGATGGGTTACGCGTATGTACTTGGAGATGCTCGGAATGCTAGAAACTACTATAACAGGATGTATACTATACAGGGATAACGGAAAAGAACATGGAAACTACAATATTCGAATATGGTATGTATTAAAACCAGATTGCACCCCTGGACCCCAACTTTAAAACGNNTCTGCTACGCATTCGGGAAAATATTGTAGTAATCCGCGATTTTTGTGGCTGTTAGTGCATGCTGCTGACTGTTCCAAGTATGTAATAGGGGGTTTTTATGCCGCTCCTGGCGGAGACGAGGAGACTTGGACTGCCGCCTTAAGCAAGTACCGTGATCTAGTCCAATCAGGTCAATACCGAGAAGTCTTTTTGGTGTGTGATGGCAACGTGCATTTCAGGAGCGCTGTGAGGCACGATGAACACTGCAACTGTAAGCACTGTGTTCAAGGTGCAGTTGACCGCAGAATTGAAGCAATGCTGCCAGCTTCGGGCCTCACGGTCCTTAATGACTCTTTGCCCACCCACGTCTCAGGTTACGTTCTAGACCTTATCCTGGGTAGAAGTGGAACGGCCGTTTGTGTTACGCTTGCTGAGTTCATTGCGGGTTCTGACCATAGACTTGCCCTTGCTAAGTGCCCTTTTTCTTTGATTATTGATCGAGACTTTAAGCTTGACAGGGTTTCCTGGTCCAATGAGCACGCTTGGCAAGCAGGCCTTGACCAAGTGCACCTGCTCTTGGACCATGCAGGCCAAGTAGTGGATTCAGTCTTCACTGAAATCCACACTTCGCCTACAATTCCAAAGAAGAGGCAAAGAACATTGCTGGAAGCCGCTGCATGGGTGAGAGAGGTCATATACTGTTTAGTTGGACACTGCAGTTCTGCTGTTAAAGCCAAAGCGGCCAAACGGCCAAGAACGACCGCGCCCCTGCTTAGCTCTGACGACTCCTGGCTTGATAGACAGGAGGGAAGCCAATCCCAGTTGTCAAGTGTTGCTGGCAAGTTCGCTGCTCTCAGGCAGCTTGACGCCGGTCAAGCTCAGAGGTACTTGTCTGGATTTTTTGATAGGTGTAAGCGTTTTCAAATTTCACTGCGTAGCGACTTAGAGGGTGACCTTTTAGGCCCAGGTGAAACTATGCGAGCCCTCATGGATGATTTAGAACATCGAGGCAACAACGATTTTCCTGCAGATGAGCAAGCCCAGCGTGAAATGACATCTG